GACGGTGGAGGGCAAATCGAGGGGTTCGCAGGGTAATGTCTTTCCCTTTAAAATGAGCTGCCGCGGGGTACTATCCGATGTTTTTTAACCGAGTTACGGCGTTTTTTGTAAAAAGGTACCTTTTTTTCCAATCCTCAATTACTTCGACTTGCGTACGTTTTGGAAAAAAATGCAAAAGAGAAAAAAGTTTCATTTTGTGTCCAAGAATACGAAAATAAAGTCAAAATAAAGAAATAGAGAAAAAAATTTTTTTCGGTTTTTTAGCGCATTAAAAAAATAAAGGAATTTAACTTTTTTTTTACGCTTAGTTTTAAAATGTCTAGGAACGTAGTAAATCATAAAAAAACTAAAACTAAGCGTAAAAAAAAAAGTTAAATTCCTTTATTTTTTCAATGTGCTAAAAAACCGAAAAAAATTTTTTTCTCTACTTCTTTATTTTGACTTTATTTTCGTATTCATGGACACAAAATGAAACTGTTTTATTTTTGGCATTTTTTTTCAGAACGTACGCAAGTCGAAGTAATTGAGGATTGGAAAAAAAGGTTCCTTTTTACAAAAAACGCCGTAACTCGGTTAAAAAACATCGGATAGAACCCCGCGGGAGCTCATTTTTAAGGGAAAGCCATTACCCTCCGAACCCCTCAGGTCGATTTGCCCTCCACCGTCTGGTTCTAAATTGGCATTGATTTAAGTCGAGGTTAAAAAAATTTCAATTTTTTTAATCAGTTTTTTTACTGTGAAAAACACATGTTTTCATTTTTAAGTCTCTGCACGTCTTAAATGGAAGCTTTTGCAATTACCTTTAAAAGTCCCTGCGGTATTTTGTGTTACGATGATTTCCGACCGAGATACAAAACTTCCAAGTTTGCCTAATTTTGAAGTTAGCATGGCAAAAGTGATTGACGGGCAGTGTATGTCATAGCCAATTGTCTAATTTTCTTCCAAAACAATAACGTGACTATGAATGATAAAGAATACAGCAAGACGCCTGGTTTAATGGAACTTCTCTTTCGTAAAGAAACTGATTCTAAATTAATCAGTTCATCGGGTATTGAAAATTATATACATAATTCTTAAAATCATTAACGCTTATCGTAAGAGATACGAATCAAGTGGAGAATATCGCAATAAGCAAGTAATTCAATTCAAAAAGTAAATTTGTCCAAATTTATCTTTAAGCGATAGTCCTAAGAAGCGAAAATCGACTATTGATGGAAGAGGTCTTTTCTAACTATAAAATATCAAGTAAAGGATCATTATTTAATTATGTATATTACGATGATCCAAAGGAACTGGTTGATCAATTAATATTGCTTATCGTCAAACAAACCGATGATAATCCTAGTCATGTTAATAATTCATTCAATCATTGAAGAATTATGTTAAGCTAGCTATATACATTAAGAGAAGCCTAAATATTCCTTAGTAATAAAATGTGTGTTCATGTGTTTAGATATAAATTGTATAAAAAGGTGGGTAATCGACATCCTCCTGGTGTAGGGTATATAATCACTAAAGACGGATAATACGACGTGGAATAGATGAGACAAGGCAAGCTGATCTTATTGAGATTTAAGGATATTCCAGAGAACAAAGGTTTTCGCTATCTATTAACTGTTATAGATAATTAACTGTTATAGATCATTCTCAAGATATGCTCGGGGAGTTCCAATAAAACAGAAAACTATAGATGTCACTAATGCAATGGATTTTGTAGTATAAAAGAGGCGCATTCCTAAAAATCTCCAAGTGGATAGAGGCAAAAAGTTCTACAATGTCAATTTTCAAAGTCTAATGAAAAAATATAAAATAAACCTATATTCTACTTATAGCAATCTTAAAGTATCAATTTTTAAACGTTTCAATCGAACACTCAAAAATATTATACGGAAAAAATTCAGTTTAAAAGGAAATTATAAGTAGGTTCGAGTTTAATAGAGTCTTATAATAATCGAGGACATCGCGCAATAAATATGAAGTCTAAACACGTGATAAAAAAAATGAAATGCATGTCTTGACGCGGTTCTGTTACTACCAACGTCTTTTCTAAAAATCGAAATTCCAGGTAGAAGATAAAATGCGAGTGAGCAAGTCTAAACACGTTTTTGAAAAAGGATATACGCCTAATTGGTTTACAAAAATTTTTACTATTCATGTTATTTCGAGAACTAAACCTGTGACATATGACATGCTGAATTACCAAGAAAATCCCATTATTGGTGGTTGTTACGAGCAAGAACTAAAGAAAACTATGCATTCTGATATCTATTTTGTAGAAAAATTTCTCAGAAGACGGAGTAATAAAATCTTCGTAAAATGGCTAGGCATTGACAAAACTCACAATTCTTGGATAAATAAGGAGTCTATAAATCAATGAATTACAAATATAAAATTATATATATCCAGCTTTTATTCAAATAATGTTCTTTTTATATGTATATTATATTGTTTTTTTATTTTTAGGATAGGAGCCACAACCTTCGCTCTTACCTATGAGACAGTTCTATTTTATCACTAGTGAGTCCATTAAGACAAGTCGAAACCTACTTTAATATAATCACTTATAACTCATTTACCTCTCCATAAAATAAATTTATATAATACAATCTTTATTGACATATAACAAGATATAAAAATGCATTTAAATAATAAACTGAAATAGATCACATCTATGATATTGAGTGGGTGCTCTATTGTGTGGACCACACCCACAATAGAGAAACTCTAACTTCCAGCGTCCACGTCGCGCCCGATGGAAACGTTAATATCGCGTTGATGCTCTCTGCAGCAGCGCTATAATAGAGACGGCTAACGGAAGCACTGGCTACAGCCGCCGATAGTGGTAGGCAGTAAGGCTGTACACAACCACTCATCACACAAAACTTACACATCTAATAAACTGTCCGAAAATTCTCTGGGACCATGAATGAAGGGCCCTATAAACGGGTATTGCCTATGAATGAGATGGAACCCTATAAACGGGTATTTTTTCCAAGCGGGTTATAAATAAGGGGGCTCTATAGACGAGCATCTCCCGAATGGATGTGAAACCGGAGGAATGACGGATTAGTCGATCAGACACAAAGTAGAACTTTAGACGGTGGTGAGAGCAATCACGACAGAGTTTACCCTAGATTATGTGTGTGCCGACTCTGAAAATCGTAAAACCAGTTTCGCACTCCTAGGCCGCCAGTAGTTGAAGGGGGTCGGACCCAACTCAGCCAGAATGGGAGGCTCTCCCTACACAATGATAAAGCGCCTAATAAGCGCAAAATCTCGATTGGCAAACGGAAGGGCCCTTGCTGCAAGGAGGGGGGAGGATCGGTCGAGGCCACCGGACTCAAGGCACGCTCGTTCAAGGGATCTACTCAGGAAAGATTGTAGGACCCACTGTACCTGGTATTCAGTTCTGACCACTAACACATAAAACACATAGTAGAATAAAGGAGATGAAAATGAGATGAAAGGTAAAGAAAATTTTGCAGGTACTAGAATGCCGCCTGCGCCCATCGATTCAGGAGCATCACTGGAGCTGCCCGGCTCCCCCAGTACACTAGTAGGAAACCTGGCTGGTGGACGGGTAATTGCGGCAGGAAAAAGGACAGAGTCGATGTTGCCAGAATCCTGGGACGCTGTGGAGACTAAGGTGCGAAAGCAACTGCTCACCATACACAGCGACCTAGGATAAATTACGGAGAAGACGAACATCCAAAGAAACGTGAGTGGCGTGATTACGAACGGTATGGCTAAGATATATGAGGCTGTAGAAGTTTGTATGTATGAATTGAAGCTAATGCGACAAATCAGACAAAAGACGAATGTAACGGAAAGACGAGGGAATGTAATGGAGGAAACTCCGGGATATAAAAGGCGACGGCTAAAACAGACCCCAAGCCCAGACCAAGTAGATGACGAAAGACGGAAAACGCTCCTAGACGTTGCTGCCACACAGCAAAAGCCGGGAGTGAATGCCCGAAACCGACAGACACCTGACGAGGGGGATACCACGTATACCACTCAACAGACTCCTTCGGAGGATGTTGAGATAAGAGCGGAGGTGTTCGAGGATTGGTCCACCGTCGTAAAAAAGTAACAGAAAAGGAACAAGAAAAAGATCGACAACGAGACGGTACAAAAGACGACAGACGGACACAGAAGCTGAGGATCGGAATGTCCCAACCTACGGACCAACCTGCGGACTATCAGACAGAAGGTAGACCCCAAGACAGAGAAGGTAGACGTTCCGACGATTAGAAAAACCAAGATCGGTGCTGTATTGATGCGGCTGGAAAAGTCGCAAGGACAGAACTTCCAAAGGATACTTCAGAAAGTATTAGGACAGACTGCGACAGTAAAAGACTTAACTTCGAGGGTGACATAACTTCTCTGGAGTTTACTGACTTGGACTGCGTCACGACGGTACGGGACATCGCGAAAGCGATAAATCGCGAACTAAATACGGACTCGGAACGGAAAGTGCATCTCTTTGCGCCAAACGCATATGGGAATGCGCGAGCCGTTTGCAAGTTCGATACGACGGAAGCAAGGAGACTGATAGGCAAAGAACGTGTAAAAACACTACTGACTGCTTCCTCTGTAAGGGAATAGAAGGACAGAACCTGGCCCACGTGTCTGGATCAGGCGGATGCGCTATATACATAGCAGCACTGACGGAACTGAAGACGAAACAGAAAAAATGACCCTGATGATACTACAATGCAATGTGAACAGGAGTAGCGTAGCACACATGCTCCTCCCTCAAATTGCGACGGAGACGAACGCAGACGTGCTTGTTATAAGTGAGGAGAATGATTGAGTACTCGAGACTTTGATAATAAATATTTATTTTTTTGCTATTCAGTTAGCTGTCAGAATTGCGACTAAAAAAAAAATGTAGAGAAAACAAACAAAAATGCGCTGCAACGGCAACTTCACACGAGAACGCGGAATTCGGCTGTTCGTCACGTTTGCCACACTACCCCCTTGCGAAGTGATGATGATCAGGTTTGAAAACGGACCGGAAGTCGAACTCGTCTTCCAGAACGGGTTGTGACTTCAGGCTTTGATGATGGTGGTACGGGCGGTGGCGTTAATTGAGGCGGATGAGTTGGAGGTGGCATCGCAACAGGTATAGGCGTAGATGCAGATGGTGGAGGTGGTTCATCGTCGTTCAAAATAAAAGCTGGGAAAACTCTGTCAATAGTAACTGTGTTGGGTATATTGTTAATTTTGAGAGTCATGTTTTTGTCATTTCTGTCGATTATTTCGTATGGTCCTCGATATGGTTGCTGAAGAGATCGTCGTTCAGGCCCTTCGCGCAGAAATACATGCGTACAGCGCTCGAGTTCCTTGAAGACGAAAGTTCCTGGTTTAGAATGCCTTGATGCTGACGTCGGTCTGAGGCGAGCCATGTGCTCTCGAAGAGCGGCAAGGAAAACTGGCATATCTTCAGCATTTGGAGCTTGGGCTGTCAACATCTCTCCTGGGAGACGCAGAGATTCGCCGTAGACAAGTTCAGCAGATGAAGACCCTATATCGACCTTGAATGCGGAACGAATACCAAGGAGGACAAGCGGAAGAGCTTCAACCCAGTCGACGTGTATCAGCATGAGCCATAATTGCAGCCTTGAGAGGTCGATGAAGACACTCGACCTACCCGAAGAAACGAACGTACCGGAAAAGATGGCGGAATCACCTTTTGTTTTTGTGGAGGGGAAGACCAAAGAAAGCTCGGGAAGCTCCACCATGGAAGAAACGAATGATAGGGATGTACGCATATAGCGGTAGTCGAAAACACATATTTTGTCACGATTACTATCAATGGTACGAATTAGTCGGCTTTGCTGGGATCAGGTGTGCAATTAGCGCGCCGGTGATCATCAAAAAGGCAGATGGAACGTATCGATTTTGCCTGGACTTCCGTCCGGTGAATAAGGTAACTAAAATCGATACATATCCGATGTCTAACCTTAATTTGATTTTAGACCGGCTGCTAGGTGCGGTTTTTCTCTTAAAAATTGCCTTACGTTCAGCATTTTGGCAGATCTCGTTAGAGGAGAGTAGCAAACAGTATACTGTGTTCGCGGTACCGGGATCAGGACTTTGGAAATTCGAGAGAATGCCTTTTGGTCTAGGAAATGATCACGCGACATTTATGCGATTTATGGAAGCCTTGTTTGGCCCGGAGTACACGCTGAATGTATTTTAGTACATGGATGACTTGTTGGTCGTGAGCGCGAGTTTTGATGATCATATGGCTTGGTTTGGTCGAGTGCTGCGTAGGTTGTTAGAGGTGAGCCTTGAGATAGCTTGGAAAAGTCAGATTTGTTTTATACCGAAATTACATATCTCGACTACAAACTAGATTACGAGGGCCTGCGTCCCGATCTTAAAAGGATTCAGCCGATTCAGGAGTACCGAGCGACAAGAAACGTAGAGCAGCTGCATCGATTTTTGTGTATGGCCGGATAGTACTCGCGGTTCATTAAGAATGAGAGCGATACCAAGGTACCACTCACGAAATTGATCAAAAAGAATCAACCGTGGATATGGGGCGGTAAGCAACAGGAGGCGTTTGAGATTAAAATGTGCGCTCACGGAAGATCCTATGCTGGCGTGGCCGGGCTTTGAGCGAGTGTTCTAGCTGCACTGCGATGGTTCTTCGTACACGGCGGGTGCGTGCTCGGTGTAAATATTTGAAGACGATGAACAGTCGATTAGTTATGCCAGTCGCATGTTGAACCCGCATGAGCGTCGGTATATGGTTAGTGAGATCGAATTTCTGGTGGTTCGCTTAGTGGTCTAAAAGTTTAGGCTATATATAAAGGGGTTCCATTCGTGACGGTGATGGATAACAATGCGTTGACCCGAGTTTTGGATAAGCGAGACTTTTCGGGGTAACTTGAGCGATGGGTGCTGGAGTTCCTACAGCTCGATTGCGAGATTGTCCATAGGAAAGTTGCATTGCTACACGTTTCGGATACAGCCTCGCACGAGTTCGAAGACGCGGCAGAAATCTGTGAACTCTCGGCTATCGAGGACTTTTGATACCTGCAAAGGCGCCGAGAACTCCTCGAACGGCCTGAGAATAACCGAAATTGAAAAGTAGAGGATAATTTGCTGTACCGGTACATAACAGACCGTCTGCTCGACCAAATTACCAATCGCGAAGAGTGTTGCCGACTCGTGGTTACGCTAAAATGAAGAAAAAGAGTGCTGCGGAATGCGCAGTGTGTGCCTTCGCTGAGCATTTCGGTCAGGAGGAAACTTATGACCACGTGGATGGCAAGTACTATTGGCGGGACGTGTGTTACGCCGTAAAGAGTTCGTCGATCAGTAGAATGAGTGTCAGCGATAGAAGGTCGAGCAAGGAGCGCCCCAGAGGTTGATGGGAAGGCGTTTTATTATCGATAATCGAAGTTTGTACCTATATACTACTTGAGTGCAGGCGACCCGTAACTCGAGAGTTCCGCCCGTGCATCAGCCCAGCCTACCCGATGCTTTCCAGACGCAGTCGATAGTGGCATCTACGACGAACAATGAACCCGCGCCGTCGACTAAAGGAATGGCCGGAACTGATACGATACATGATAGGCGAAAGAAGGTGTGTCGTGGAGAAAAAAAGAAGGGCTCACGAAAAGAGGACGCCCGAGGGTTGGGCTTGGCGAGAAAATGTGGTCGGAAGCGATCCCATCCTTACGCAGTTACGGCACGATGCTAGAGAAGAGCAACAGAGCTCCAGTTCTAACAGCAGGGATGAGGAAGAAGATCGCCACCGTACCCCTCCCGAGCTGGAGTCTTTAGTGAGGGTGGTCAATCCGCCTTCCGCCGAGCATGCTCTGGGCTCTGATGACCTAGAAGCAAGTCCCTCCATGGATTAAGTGTAGTGTCGCAATTGTAAGTACTGTGTTGTATGGTAGATCTTTTGATTTTATTTTCTTGTTTTGATTATCTGAGTGTCTGTGTGTATGTAAGAGCTAAATGTGGATAGGGTACACGATGCTTCAGAAGAGAATATATCCTTTCATTCTTTTTGTTTCCTTTCCTTTTTGAGAACGTTCGTTTTGGGCACTCGCGGAGAGGAGCGAGATGATCGTCGGTTGAGCATTGGGAAGATATCGATAACTTGGGGGGGGGGGGGCGCTATGGTAGGGCCTTGGCAGAGATGGCCGGACCTGTCTGACTCGCTCTCTCTCTCCCGCGATTTGCTCCTTTGCTTTGGCCATGGCGAGGGTAATGGAAATCAAGAACTATTCTCGATGCTCGCACGCTTTCTTTCAGAACTAATAGCTGTGCCGGGCATCGTCAGTGGGGACCAATTGAGAGCGAGAGTGGCAGCGGTGAGAGAAAACATAGGAGTAGATGCGTCGCAAAAGATGAGTAAGTGAGCGCAAGGGACCCACGGCGATCCGCTCGAGAGAGAGAGCGGAGCTGCCGGCATTTCTCGAGCCGATACGTGCGCTGTTGGAGAGAGAGTTCGATCCGTAATTTTGATCAGGAAGGATCGACTGTGACGGCCAAAAGCTCTCACGCTAAAATATAGAGCTACCAGTTTGATAAATCGCCAGGTAGAGAAAAGCACAGACCGAGACGAAGCTGGATAAATAGTGGCAAGGATTAGATTGCTGCCTAGGACATCAAGGAGACACCTTTTCAGCCTATTTTCAATCTGCCTGCCGCTTCAACAATGATTTCCGCCAGCAGCCTTCGTCGGGTCAAGTCGTCTCTCTCTCTCCCTCTTCTTTCCGTCATCAGTCGACGAAGTGCTCGCAATTATCCGTGAGCACGAAGATAACGGCGAAGTCCTCCACTCATTCCTCTCAATTTTTATTGTTGTACCGTGCGCCCGTTCGTCTCCCGCACAAGCGAAGGCACGTAGCCGTAGAAAATGACGCGTTTATCTTCATCATCACTCTCTGATTTTGTAATTATGAATTAATAATAAATAGAGTCAAAGGTTATAGAGAGTGATTTCTGTGCGTACCCATCACTCCCTTCCTCTCGAGCTATTATTCATCACGCCAACTTCATGACGAGGCTCATCGTCACTGCTGCAGTGGAGCAAAAGAGCCTCCTGCACCTTCCACTTATAAAAATAAGTTACACCGCGCTCGGGCACAGGTCTATGGCAGGGTTCGTGAGAATAATTAAATACAGCTATTCCTCAAAAAGCGTATAATGAGTGTTACAAGTATGTCTTTTGCGATTGTTTATGTAAGAGCCTTTAGTAATGTTACACTCTACACGTAAAGCGTTGACTTTGAGAATTGTTACGAGTAAGTCAGAACTATGCATTTTGTTTTCAACAAGCGTGCGTCTACTGAAGCCTAAAATTGTTTCAATGGAATTCTTTGGTTCAAAATGTATCTTATGACTGCACTGAATGACACTAAATAAAGTAATAATATTCGTTTTCAGACTAAACGATATACCTCTGGTTCTAATGTTTCTTTGCAAAAGCTTTCAATACCTTCTATTTCGTAGCTACCAGTCGGTGAAGTGACAGCTTCTTGACCTTAAATGTAAGATTTATTATAACGAACGCCAGTGTTTGATATTGAATTAAATGTTAATAGCTTAAATAGAACAAGAATGTATTTTTCTTTATGTAACGGTCCTATTTATGAGCTGTTTATTAAATGACTGCAACTAGTCTAACGTACTTATCTGTTAGTCAAAACAATACATTAAGCGGCGCTACCTCACTGTTTACGCGACTGTATACAAATAAGAGTCGAGTCAAAACAAATAGCGTGACGTCACAAATAATAGACATAGATATAATGAACCATAATATTGAGAAAAATATGTTAATTATAGATAATTTAAATATAACAAAGTATCAATTATATAGATTTTAACATACAGATTCACAATATCTCATTCAATTATAAATTAACAATGAATATCGATATGTAAAGTTAATTTATTTATTAACATATGAAATATTAGAAGAATATAAATAATTTATATGTAAAATGAATAAGCATAGAACATGAGTAAGAATTGGTTTCATTAATAACAGCTAAAAAACAACTGTTATTAATAAATAAACAATTAATAATTTATTTAAACAATAAGCTATATATAGAACGAAAATATTAAGTTAATACTTAATAATGACAATTTTATGATTTAGAAATCTTAGATAATTAATCTAATAATCGCATATTAAGATTAGAAGGAAACCGTTACAAATATGAAAAATTAGTCATAATTCAAATGTTATTAATTAATTTAAATAATTAATTTTGGAAAATACTTCCAAAATTAATCAACTTTAAGGTTATATGAAATTTTAACAATTTTCTATTGTAAATAATGTAATATCACGTTAATTAACTTTATTAGTTAATAACTTTTGACGACACTATTGGCGATAATTGTATATTGTATAAATTCAACAAATAAATAATTCTGTAAAATTTACATGTGTTAAAAACTTAATATTAATGGCTATTTACTTGTAAATTAAGAAAAATCATTTCTCAAAATTCGCGAATGTCTCTCGAATTTTCGATGAAATCTCTCCTGCAATAATAAGCGGGAAAATCTGTGTATAAATAGGCCCACCTTTGCACAGGCTAGGGATTCACTTCTAGCCTTGCAA